TTATTAAGGATAACTCAAAATCTATACAAATAAAAAAAGAATCATCAAAACCGGTTCACCTAGAAAAAAAATCAGCACATAGTCCACCTGAAGTTAAGTGGATGTTGTGGCCTATAGAAATCTACATCTATACTCTCGATTAGGAGTCAAAATGCATATGCGTTCCCACCTCTAAGGACTAAGTTGGAATGTCACGTTTCCAGAAAAAGAGTCTCCGGTTCTCTACACTCACCATACGAAACACAGCAGTATTGAGCTCCTATACGCTAGTACTGTACTTCTCTGCGAGCATGGTTCTTCCCCGATCGAGCCGACCCATTTGTGCTACAACCATAAAATAGCTAGCAGCATGGCACCACGTATTTATACACAAAAGAAAAAAAAACATACAGTCGAATTGAGTTTCAAAGTGATTTTTAACCGACTTTGAAAGGGTGGAGGTACCACCCTTTCAAAGTGGGTGGAGGTACCACCCTTTCAAAGTCGGTTAAAATGTCTAAAACAGGCAGAACTGTGTTTTCTGTCACGTTCTGGGTTTTGATCAAGCTATGTACATATAAATAAAATTTAAGTGTATGTAATATCGACATACTACATTTAATTGAGCTAAGGGGGTTGTTTGCATTCCATTAAGAAATATATATATATATATATATACATATATATATATATATATATATAATTGTTTATAAAAAAAGGTTTTGGTATGTCTGTCTGTGTGTCTTTTCGAGCTAGTCATCAGAATGGCTGTAACGCTTTTAATGAAACATCACGAACAGATAGAAAATAATACTAGAAACGATTTAGGTTCTAGGCTATATTTTATCTAAAAAGCCATACCCACTAGATTTTGCATTCCGAACACTCACTATGTTCAACTGAACTGTACTGTAATCCGTACACCTGTTATTGTGGCTCCGATATTCATGTAGTGCTTAGCGGTGCTAATAATAATTTTATATTAAATTAGCACATATGCAAAATAAACGAAAATTAAAAAATGTACTCGATTAACAATACAATCTAAATAAACAATTATTTATTGTGAAAATTTTCGCGCGTTGGTATCAACTGCGTGATTCTATTGTTTCCCGCGCATGCGCGGATACAGAGTAGTGCACATTTTTGTTTGGAATAGCTTCTCTAGTACGTAGTCATTGAGCTATTATGTACTACGTACTAGAGGCGTCACTGCATTCAGCTACTCTGTTCCACTCAACTGCGGTGCATGCACCGCACTTTAATCAGTTACTCGCTAGGCGCTTGTAGAGTTGTCACGTGTTGTGTTGATTTAAAAAAAATCTCTTGATAAAAATATGTCGTAGTGTGTACTTAGATATTGCACAAATAATTCAAGAAATGTCAGTAAAAACCAAGGAATTACTTTTCATCGGTTAATAAGATACTTAATCAATAAAAAAGTATTAAAGATTAATATTATAACAAATTATTCTTAAGACGCCATCTCGTGTCATGGAATATAGATTATGAAATTAATATGTTCAGATGCGACATTTCTGTGGGTACTTAAGTATAGGACGAATATATTATTATACACATTTTTTTGTAGAAACATGTAGGTATAAGTTATTATAATTAGGCTAAATTTTTCATGTTTAAATCTGCTTATTATTCTTTTATTTTATTTTTAGGTTTCCACCTCAAAGTGAAAGTGGAATAAATTCGCGTGCCCAGCATTTATGAATGACTCTTTTTCTAATTTAAATAAATATATTTGTATTTAAATGTTATGTTAGTAATTTTTTTATATTTGATATAGATACCTTTTAAAATATTCAGATAAAAATATCATTAAAATGTAATTGTGATATAATATTACGTAATATTATATTCAATAAGCAAATATAATATACAAAATAAATGACAAAATTTAGATATTGTTCTCGATATAATTTACCTATTTAACAATACAATCTACTATTACCTACGCATCATTCTACCTATGTTTATTCTATGATAAAAAAACAATCGCGCGAACACAGAGTAGTACACACTTTTTGTTTGAGATAGCTGTTCTAGTACGTAAGTACATATTACTTCAATGTACGTAGTACATTTAACTCAATGTAAAAAACTTAGAAACTTTAGTGGCATCGAAAGAAAAATCATATTAATATACCCATAATTATCCAAGACAGGCAAAGCTTGCTTGTTGCTAGCTAGTATATTGATACTCGTAGTAATTATTTTACATTACGTACAAAAATTAATTTTATAAGGTTGCCTAAATTTATTTTATACATAATACAACGTTAATAAACATAAGAACAGTTTATATACATATGTAGCGCAAATGAAGCGCTCTATATACTAATAATTGAGGATTTATTAATATGGCTTTATTAAGATAGTCAAAAAGAAACAAATCTCCAAATTTTTCGGATAAAGTATAGCTTCGATATTACAAATAGACAGCTATATATTTACATGTATGGATATACATATATGTATATGAGTAAAGTAAATTGACACCAAAGATACGTCCAATGCCGTCTATAATCAAGTTGTTGACATAATATTATATCTATGCGTATTTTTGGCGTACGCAGTTTTGATGATGATTATTTGCTTGTCTATACATCTATACATATAAATTAAATAGAATAGCCTGACTATAATATCGAAGAGACTGATTTTTTTAAGCTCAGGGGGTTATTTTCTTGCCATTAAGAGATTAAAAAAGAACCTTTTCTTTTCTTTATTGATCATAGAACCTCTTGTAAACATTATTTTGTCCGTCTGTCAAGACCAATCAGGTACAGGAGTGATCAATGATGTATTTAACATTTACTTTGAGTATACTTTTTCGTGGAATCGAATTATTGTTATACCGTTACTGTTACAGTCTATTAAAGTCCACTGCTGAACATAGGCCTCCCCGATAGATTGTCTCATGCCCCCGTATGGGAGAGGATATTTGCCTTAGTTGTCACGCTGCTGCCATCTCCTGATTTGTTTCCCTCTGTCGTCTGTTACAACACCTACGGGATTATATGGGGTAGTGGATATTCTTATACCGCCACTATACTGCTTATATATGTAAATGACTATTTAAAAAATCTTAATGACGAGACAGATAACGTAGCGTACGTTATCTGTCTCGTCCTGCCGGTCTCATCCGGTCTCGGAGACCAGAGCTGGTTGCTAGTTAAATGAATTAATTCAGCAATAATCATTAACTGATTAATTGTGTAGAATAACACAGTCCACCTGATGGTAAGCGGTTGCTATGGCCCATAGACATTTACATCTACTCGTTTCCTCAGATACGAATGCGTTGTCACCCGTGAGGACTAAGATGGAATGCCTCATTTCCAACAAAAAGGGTCTCCGGTTCTTTACACTCACCATACGAAGTACAGCAACGGTAAGCTGCTATTTCACGCCGTGATATTCTGTTAGAGCGTGGTCCTGCCCGGATCGAGCAGATCCATTCGAGCTACAACTATACTACTTATATAGCTGCAACATGGCTCTACCAAGTATAATGGTTATTTATCTATTCTATAGTAAATAAACATTTACCATAACTGCCACGCTTGGATGACTGATTGACCGATGAACTGTTGTTTCGTACTTAATTTTGATGATGCTGCTCTCAGTCGCTGTTCTAGGTTTTTGCTTAAGCTTTATTTTACTTAAGCTATATTTTAAGAGATGGTTTTACCGTAATCTATCAAAAGCTTTTTCCCAACTAAGGGGTCCAATCTACTGAATTTTCCATAAATATGGGAGAGGTCAAAGCCCAGCTTTGGGCTTTGACCTCTTCCTCATGTGCTGATAAAGAATTGTCATTTATTTCGAATACACAGCGATTTATTTCAGCGAATTAATTTCACGCTATGTTGTTTAAGTGTAGTTTTACGTTATCTACTTTTAAGACCTAAGATAAAAAGCGGTCTAGATGGAAAGGTCCACACGAATAACTTCCCAGTGGAAAGAATAAACAAATATCATATGTTTTAATATTTTATACAATTTTTTATTCGGCACAAAAAGCGACTTGACTGATTTTACTCAAAATTTAATGACGTCCAAGTTTCATAATTATGCGTTAAATGAAACTGGTCCCATGTCAATATTACTCTTTCTTCTCGTGATACACAAGGCGAAAATTTAATAACGCGAACATACATACATACATACATACATACATGTGCATACACGGAAGTCCTCTTAAAAACCATACTATTCGACTCTAAAGACCTTGAAACGTGGAGATATGTTAAAATTTCCAATTTGCAAAATCGGACCCATTACAATAACTTCCCACTGAGATGTTAATAAAATCGATTTACTGAATATAAGGAGGTTTAATGGAAAGAACACATAGACCGCTATAGTCTAACGGATTAATAAGATTAAGTGGCTCTCCGCCCGCCATAAAGCTCGAAGAACAGACCAGCTGTGGGGAAGAAGTATCAATAGTCGTAGAGGTAAGCGAAGTGTAAGGCGGGCCCCCTTGATGGAGCGATGACGGGAAGAGATGTAGGAAGTCGATAGATGCAGTTGGCTTTTGACTTAACTGTACAAAATATTTTTAACCGATGAAAGTTTCGCTAAAAATGTCAATCAACGGTAGTTATCATAATACATCATTACTACTTCAGCCTATCAAAAATTCACTCTTACACATAGGTCTGCCCAAAGATTGGTCATTTGCCCTACTCGCTTGGCAATTGGGTTGGCAATTATAGTTTTTTTATTACTTTGATTTATCAGTAAGATGCTGCTCATCTCATGTTTCATTTATCTGTCACCTCTTATGAGACCCACAGGATGATATGGGGTAGTGGATATACTTTCACCAACACTACACGGTCAAGATATAATGAATATATTATAGCAGACAGAATTAAAAAATAGCGTCAGCAATTAAACATATCACACAAATTTTGTTCACAATTTATAGTAATTAACTTCAATGTGAAGATTTTGATAATATTAAAAATATTTAATTTACTCAGTAATTGTCTAACCTTCCAATTCCGTTGAATGAAGAAGCTTGACTTGCTGAATGCGATGCACTGAAGCCCTCTTGAAATCCAAATGAGAACGATTGTGAAGCTGCATGACTGATGCCTGCCCCACTCGCGCTGCTGCTTATACTGGCTGTCAGGCCCCCTGTTCCTGTTGGAGCCACGTTGAATCCTCCTCCAAAGCCAAAACGAGGGTTCAATTGACCAGGAAAACTTTTGCTACCACCCTCACCCGGGAGTAGCGTACTAGGATCTCGCTCCAGGTGCTCTAGGACCGGTAGAACGGGCGGAGTAATAGGCTCCAATTTTCTTTGTTGTCGCACATCGTCTGGAAATACGAAGCCGTTAGCTGGAGCGGGAGTGGACAAGGTCATCCCTATGGTAATCGATAGACACAAAAAGGTCCAGAGGAACTTCATGTTTGGGATTAGTTAGAATACTATGTGCGATGGACGATGATTCTTATATTAATAGGGTCGTGCGAGGTCAGGCGCGGCGTTGACATGCGGCCCGCGCCGCAGCCTTCAGAAAAACCACTGCGCCGTGTGTGAGTCGATGTCCTGTTCAGTACTCATTCTCCCCTCCCTTAGATATATAAAACTCATAAAACTTTTCCTTTTTAAGCTAACGGCCCTATTGTTATGCGCGTACTTATGACAAGACACGGAAAACTAAGATGAGCTGATGTGATTGGGAAATCCGTTGTCCTATTTCTAAACGTTTAATATGCGTAGTGAAGGCACGCGGGTTAACTTAGTACTTAATACACTAGATAGTTTTAAGTGTATTTCTTCAATAAATAAACATTTTACTCGTTTGATGCTGCTTCAGTTGGATGCGCATTACACTTTGTTAATCTAAAAAATATATAAAACACAGTTTGTATTTTAAAGGAAAGGAGATCGAAAGATGTTATTTTAGTGCCTAGATAAATAATTACTTATTGATAACTAATTACTTATTGATACATGTAGTTATACATATGATACATATTGTTTCCCAAGTAGGTGAAAGTGCATTATGCTTAAAAGTTTTATCCCAGTTCCTCTGACTTTAATAAAAAGAGTTTTATTACAGTTTTGATTAAAATAATATAAAAATGATTAAATAAAAATAAATAAAATTGCCTATTAATGAATAAAACAATACTTAATTAATGAATAAAACAATACTTAAATAATTTTTATTGAGTTTGAAGATAGACTTAGTAAATTAAATTTAATAACGGCTGCCTTGCTTAGAACATTAAATTGAGATGATGATGATTGATTGATGTACCAAAGGTATGTACCCAAATTAAGGATTCAACTGCTCTTTTATTATTTATTAACTACGATTAAATAGAAATTGACTAGTAAGATTGCATATATGATGCAATATAATACCGTGAAGTGACGGTGTAAGAATATTCATAACCCATATCATCCCGTGGAAGTCGTTAGAGGCGCCAGACGGAAACAAATCAGATGGGTAGCAGCGTCTTCTTAATAAAGATTAAAAATAAAAAACTGCGGTTGCCAACCCACTTGCCAAGCGTGGAAACTTTTGTAAATATGCAATGTTCGGCGGTGGACTTTGATATGCTGCAATAATGATGCAACCTTTATTTCTTGTTTCTTTATTTCATGACATTCTCATATCGGTAAATAATCTACATTTTGGGTGTGAGTGAATCCTTTTATTTCGTAAGTGCACGAAACTAAGCGCACATTTAGGCGTTGGGAGAATAAAGTGACCTTTCATATAATTAAAATTTTTCCAAAGTCGTGGTAGCTCAGGGGCTTAGCGTTCGCTGCAAATTTCACAGTACGCGAGCAATCCCGATTCGATCCCTACTTACACCAATGAAGTTTCAAATTTAAGTGCTGATTTACCATGTGCTCGGCGGTGAAAGAAAACATCGTGAGGAAACAAAAAATAATAATTCCAAAACTGAACTGAAATGAAAGGAGGCTTGTGCCCAGCAGTGGGATATATAGGCTGTGTAATGTTTACAGGTACGAGTTGCAATTTTCTACTTTAGCGAATAAGTAAGTGTTTCCAGCAAAGATTACGGAACCACGCTATCTACAGATGTTATTAAAATAATGTTTCCGCAAACTCAGCGTCCTGAACGATCCTTTATCCATCTCGAAATATTTATTTTCTAGGCACGCAGGTTTAACACGTGTTTTCCTTCACCACGCAGTATACGGTATAATATATAAAAAGAGCACATAAAATTGACAAAAAATTTAATAGGAAATATAATATGTATTTAATTTCTAATTCTGTGAAGTCGAGGTAGTGCAGTGACAGGACGTTCACCTTAAATTTTTGTACAGCTATTTATTTGATTTCCAAAGATAAATAAGCTCGCAACAAGGAAGATAAACTACTTGAATCCGGACAAACTAGAAGTTTTTGTAAAAGAAAATTGTCTGATGCAGACTGTGAAGAACGAATTAGATACTTGAAACTTTGTATAAATTTTGGGTGGAAACTCCGTGAATGATTATGCCAACCAAACTTTAGCCATCAAATATTTTAATCACTAGAAAAACTAATGTATTTTCATGAAAAAATGTCAAAATCTACAGTTTGAGGAAGTCACTCGCATCTGAGAAGTGGCTCGCGTTAGTGGCGATAAAATGTTCGTGTTTGAACAATAAAAAAATATGAATATGGATAAATTCCGTTAAGACGTTTTAGTTTTCTAAGATCGTAAAGCATAATTTAACAATAATTTAAAACTATTGACAGATACCGGTATTCCAAACCTGACGAACAAGTTGTATTTTAGTCAGACTGTCCAAAACTACGCCGTAAAAAAATATTGGACAATCACACACTTACATTAACAAAGAACGACAAGATGACAGAGGTAAGGCAGGACTTTCGCTATCGGTACCGTTACAGCCTATTGATTAAAGTCCTCTGCTGAATATAGGCCTCCCCCATAGATTGCCTCATAGCGGGATATTTGCCATAGTTGCCACGATTTGCAATCTGCTGATGAAGAAGAAGATGCTGCTGCCCATCTCCTGATTTGTTTCTTTGATTTGCCGAGGATATAGTCGTTATGGCAGAATCACTGGAGGACCTAAGCACTATGATCAATTACCTCATTAGTGCCTCCCAACGGTTAGGTCTTGAGATGAACATGGACAAAACAAAGATCATGTGTAACGTCCACCTATGCCGGTTGTTGTTGGGAGCGCTAAGCTCGAAGTTGTTGACGAATATGTTTACTGGGGACCAATAGTCCGCCAAGGTAAGTTCAACTTCGATCGAAAGGTCAATCGACGGATTCAACTCGGCTGGGTAGCGTTCGAGAAAAATATATATATATATATATATATATATATATATATATATATATATATATATATATATTATACAACTATTACATCATTTATCATTAGTATTTTTTTCATTATGTATATATATATATATACATACATATACACATATATATATATATATATATATATATATATATATATATATATATATTGGTCACTATAAAATTTTGTTAGGTTAGCTAATTACGTAATAACTTAAAACAGAAGGACAAACGTAAGGACGTTAAGTAGGGACTGAATAAATTAAACGACTTGGTATTACATTGATCTCACAACTTTTTATGGTAGAAGAAATGAGTTGCGAGACTTGTATTTTTTTACAAGTTATGTTTTTGATGGCATCTCATTTCTTTTTGTAGATAGTCCTACTTCTTTTCTTTCCGGTATCTTCTACTTCTTGAATATCAACAACGTACCTATTTACGCCTATTAAACTAATAAAAGTGCACTGATTCATTCACCGCAAATATAACTTTGTAATTCTAAATATTTGTATGGGATTACAAAGTTATTTATGCAGTTAATGTATCTAGAAAACTGGACCGAAATAAAAAAATATTTTAGTTTTTCATAGAATTATACACTAAACATCAATTGTATTCTAAATTTGAAGCTTCTATATCTGCTATAAGTGCTTTAGAGTTTTGATGATCGGTCAGTCAGTGAGGGACAAAATTAAGAAACTTGGACTAGTTATACTTCTTAAGCCACTGGTTAAAATTGAATGATATTTGAAATATAGCATGTTTATACAATATCTACTCAGTTATTGAAAATTCAGGCTTCTGGTTTTATCTACTACGAAGTTAAAGGGGGTCGAAAATGGCCTGAATTGCTTCGAGAAAAGAATGGCACGGCCGTGCCTCTTTTTTGCTCGACTTGGCGGGGGCACTACCGTGCCCCCCGGATTATATTTACTTCTGATATATTTCACGGGTCCGTGGCACAGGCTTAGCAATCACTTACAGCACTGAGATCCGCGTGTTCGAATCCCGCACGGAACAAGTATTTGTATGGCCCAGAAGTAATTTTTCCGAGTCTGGATTTCAGTCATTGTGCAATTTATGTATGTAATTTGCTAAACTGCAACTGCTCCATGACACAGGAGAAAAAAGGGGGTAACGTTTTTCATAAAAAATCCATAATTATTTTATAATTTAAAGTCGTTACTAAGACGAGATCATTTACTTAAATATTTGAGAGTATTTATTGACATATCTTAAAGGTACCTCGTATAATAAAATCAGTATTGTTAAGACGGATAGATTACTTAGAAACCGATAATGGATTTCATCATCGTAACAAAAGTTACGATGATGAAATCCATTATCTACTAGCTACTGGTTGTAATACGATAATACGTGGTCTATATTAGTTGTAGGTGAAAGGGATAATACAGAGGCATTAGTTTATCCTAGCCTACCCATATAGTGTGGTGGCGTCGAAAGATTATTTACTACCACATTTTGTCCCGTTGCTGATATAAGACGCAACCTCCTATAGATTTTTATAGAATAAGGGTGGCAAAAAATCACACAGCCCACCTAATAGTAAATGGATGCTGAGGCCCATAGACATCTGCATTTATCCTCGATTAAGAATCTAAATGCAGATGCGTTATCACCCCTGAGGACTAAGACAGAATTCTTCGTTTCCTGTCCAAAGGGTCTCTAGTTCTCTTCACTCAGCATCTAAAACACAGCAGCATTAGGCTAACGAGTGTGGTCCTTTCCTAGTTGAAACGACCAATTCGTGCTGCATTTGACAGTTAAAGAGCTGATGAGGACTGTGAGGGACCTACTTGTATCCAACGTAATGTGATAAGATCGTAGTTAGGTAAGTGTATAGTGTCAGGATTAAGAGCGTGATCATGACAAAGAAAACAGAGAGCCTACAGCAGGACAATCCAAGATGACTTATACAAAAAAACATATAAAAAGCAGCTTAAGATCATATTAACAGACTACTTAAAACGAATTAGACTTCTGTATAAAAGCTGGGGGATACAGACTTTGACATTTAAAATATTTTT